AACTCAGTTCTGACACTATCTACCTGGAATAACATGAGGCCCCGCAGGAGAAGGCCCGTCCCACCAAGCCTTTCCCCGCTCCAGGTGCCAGCGGCAAGTCCAGGTCGCCTCCTGCACTGTGACCCATCGGCTATAAGCGAGAGGCTCCCGGTGGGTGTTCTACCATCTAACTCAGTTCTGACACTATCTACCTGGGATAACATGAGGCCCCGCAGGAGAAGGGCCCGTCCCACCAAGCCTTTCCCCGCTCCAGGTGCCAGCGGCAAGTCCAGGTCGCCTCCTGCACTGTGACCCATCGGCTATAAGCGAGAGGCTCCCACGGCGCCCTCTTCAGGGCTGATTAACTCGCTAGAGCAGTGGTTCTCAACCTTCCTAATGCCTCGACCCTTTAATACAGTTCCTCATGTGGTGGTGACCCCCAACCATAAAATTATTTTCGTTGCTACTTCATAACTGTAATTTTGCTACTGTTATGAATCGTCATGTAAATATCTGATACGCAGGATGTATTTTCATTGTTACACATTGAACATAATGAAAGCATAGTGATTCATCACAAAAACAGTATGTAATTATATCTGTGTTTTCCGATGGTCTTAGGCGACCCCTGTGAAAGGGTCGTTCGACCCCCAAAGGGTCGCGACCCACAGGTTGAGAACTGCTGTGCTAGAGACAGGAAGGGTACAGATGTGCCTCCAGATGGGAGAGACGCGCAGGCCAGGTGTGTGGGCAGGCGAGCAGTTTCCATGCCTTCTCTGCGCACATCACTCTCCCTGTACCTACGTGTTCGCCAACCCAGAAGCTCTCTGAACATCACACCTGCGGGATTTTTACGGCGGCTTCGCCACGTAGGCGTGATAGGTCCTTAACTCCCCCGTTCAGCCCTTCTTCCCTCTCAAGAGCAGGGGGGACAAAGCTGAAAAGTCCAAGCTTCTAATCAAGGCTTGGTCTTTTAGGTGACCAGCTCTCACCCAGGAGCCCAAAGTCACCTCATTCAGACACTCCTATCACCCAAGAAATGACAAGGTTTTCAAGCACTCTGTGCCGGAAATGGGGGGCAAAGACCAAATATACACTGAGTGGTCAGATTATTATTATGACCACCCCATCAGTACTTCATTGACACTTCCAAAAATACTGAATATTGAAAACTTCCTAAGCAAATACTCTCAAGGTTTTATTATTATTATTATCATTATTTACATAACTAATTCACTTCATTGTACTGATGGGGTGGTCATAATCATCTGCCCGGTCATAATAATCTGGCCACTCAGTGTATGTGCCTATTATCTCACAGAATGGCAATGAGTAAACAACTAACAAGGTCTGCAAGATCCCAAGACTTCAAAAACTCAGGAACACTTGCCCTGGCCGGGTGATGCAGTTGATTGGAACATCGTCCCATGCACATACCTGGGTTGTGCGCTAGATCCCCGGTTGGGGTGCATGTGAGAGACAACCGGTCGATGTTGCTCTCTCACATCAACGTTTCTCTCTCTTTCCCTCTCTCTCTCCTCCTCCTTCTCTCTCTAAAATCAATAAACATACCCTCGGGTGAGGATTAAAAAAACCCTCAGAAATAGTCAACTCATGGTGTGCA